TAGAGACAGGGTTTGACCATGTTGGTCAGGATGGTCTCCAACTCTTGACCTTGCCATCTGCCCGACTCGGCCTCCCAAAGTGCTGGGATTATAGGTGTGAGCCATGGCACCCAACCTCTCATTTTCTATCGCATAAATTCAGTGTTTATGGTTATTAGAACATGGTTTTCACGTAAGCTTTGGTAGTCTAGGAACAAAAGCAAATTGATAAAGTTTAATAAGGTTAAACATCTTATTTAACACTTTTCAGGCATTTAACAGTGCCAAGTACACAAACATTTGGCCAGTTACATTACTACTCTGTTCACCAAAACTAGCCTAGATTATCTAATATTCTGCCATTGAATGATATAAGTACTTATTCTAGAATGAAATTTCATTTCAATGAAATATTTTTTATTTTTTTCAATAAAATATTTTAAAATTCAGATTTAGAGAAATGTGAATGAGAGTTTTATCCCAAGGACATTTAAAAACATTTGTAATATAGCTTTAAGGATTTCTCTGTTAGATCAAGGATAAACATAAACATATTTTTTAAAGACTAGAAATAGGTAGAGACCATTCAGGACTCAGCAGGTGGAGAGAGGATAGCTAGAATGAGGAAAGACAGCAGTAGTTGTGATCTGTGTGACCTGTATTCCCTTAACTCACCTGTAGTTCTGTTCCGAAACACCAATGTGGAAGATGTCCTTAATGCCCGAAAACTGGAGCGAGACTCGCTTCGGGATGAGTCCCAAAGGAAGAAGGAACAGGACAAACTGCAGAGGGAGAGAGATAAACTAGCCAAGCAGGAGCGCAAGGAAAAAGAAAAGAAAAGGACACAGAGAGGGGAGCGGAAGCGATAACCTTGGCTTACTCTGTTCTTTTCCCCCAGGAACTTGATCAAAGGGAGAACTGGTTGTGTATTTAAGAGAAATGAGAGTGCACTGCAAAGTAGTTTCCCAAGGCATTTCCCTTATTGTTTACATGGTCAAAAGGAAAATCACAATCACTTCTAAGTATAAAATCTGCTATGTTTTGGTGGTGTGGGAAATCAGATTATAGTTGATGACTGTACCAAAGATCTGGAATAGGGGCCACCTTTATATTTTAATACTTAAGTCCTGTGCTCCATTTGGCCACTTTGAAGTCTTCCCTCACTTGGGATAAATAGCAGGAGGATTCAGAAAGGTAACAGTTTTCATCCAGGAGCAGAAACATCATCAGTCCCTCTCTGAGATGAAATGGGGGCATGCACATTGCTTTGGAGGCAGTATTCAGCTGTAAATGTAGTATTGTTTTATGGCTGAAATAGAGAGCTAATGAAGAGCCCTATCTGGATCCAGATTTTATGTTAACATGGCAGCAAAATATTTGGGAGATGTTCTAGATCTGTTTTTTTTTTATTATTATTAAAGTTTCAGCTTATGGGAGGAAAAGAGGTATCTTTTAAAATAGAGATAGTTACATATTTTTCCTCATCTAGGCTGTGATATTTTAAGGATGTGTCACCATTGGGTACAAGGATATCATTGTTGGCTAGATTCATTTTTTATAATCATGTATCCTCTTGAGTGTTGGTAGGGATTTTAATACTGATTTTTCCCTAAGACATGAGTATTAAGAAATGGTAATTCCTGGTTTAGAGAAACTGGAGAAATCACCCTTTTAAGGAAGAAACACTGGAAATCTCTGCTAACACCAGGATATTTAAGAGTATACATATTAGATACTCAACGCATTTATTGAATGAATGAGTGAATGGAAAAACGGGGAAAGTCAAAAGTGAGTAGAAGCTCTCCCATTTCTACTTTAGTCACAAACCACATTAAATTGTAAATAAGTCCCTTCCCTGCTTGACTTCAGGCAGCAGACTGTCTAGAAGCCTAAGGACAGCAATTTCTCTGACAAAACAAAGTAGATATATTATACCAGAGGTTGGCAAACTACTGCCCATGGGCCAAATTTGGCCCAGTCTGTTTTTGTATGGTGCAAACTAAAAATGATTTTTACATTTTTAAAGAGTTATAAAAGAAAAAACAAGTGGTCTGCAAAACCTAAAATATTTACTACCTGGCCTGGCCCGTTGGAAGAAAAGTTTGCCGACCTCTGTTTATATACCATTAACTATGAGATTAACAAAAACTTTTACCTTTATGCAGAAGGTTAAAAAAGAAAAAGCATGGTTAAGGAAAAGGGGATGTGTTACCTCTTCATATACTCCTATAACCGTGGCATTGCAAAAAATAAAAATAACCACCTTTAAAAAAAATAAACCTTATTTAAGTTGCTGTCTTCTGACTTACTTTCATTCCTTCTAACCTACCCATGGAAAAGAAATATGTGTGAGTAGTTACTTAGGAATGTGTTGATTTTTATTTTATGCTTTGATTAGCCCTATAATGTATATTCCACTAGTAGAACCTCTTCCTGGAATCCATAAATTCTCTTTCTCAATTTTCCTTTCTGTGAAGTAGGAATTAGATCAGAAAGATTAGCATTTTTTTGGGAACATCAGGAAAATGGCTTTGAAGTCCTTTGAAGTACTATTAGAGTCTTAGTCATTTATGTGGTGGTAGCAATAGGGTATGATAGAGCCTATTTTAATTTAGTAATCCTTATTTTGGGATTTTGGGTTGTTCTCACCTTGATCTTTGTCTCTGAAGGAGTCAGGTTATATCCACGGACCCCTGAAGGACTTGTTTCAATTTGTTAGTTCTTTCTTCTGGGACTCTACTATGTACGTCACAGTTAAGTATACTCTCAAACTAATGCTTAAACAGAAAAAAGAGGATCAGCTCATTAGGCTTTGAGTTTGGTTATCCACTTGACTCAGGTGCTAATAAATCCTTTACATCTAAAATGTTCAGTATTGCAAAGGGCAGATTTTAAACAACCATATCTTCTTGAGTTTTAGGCCAGGTTTGGATTTCAGTCATAAATTCCCAACCCTCTAAAACTTTATAGTAGCAGATTATTCAAGTGACAAGGACACTGATAATAACTCAAGGTAATTTTGCTTTTTCCATTAAAAAAATGAGTACACCAAGTTCTTTTGGATTAGAAATGGTGGGAGCATCAGTTTTACGTTTCACTGCAAGTTTTGTAAAAATTTTGTAATGTTTTCATACGTTGTAATTCAGAAGTACAAGTACATAAGAACCATCCGTTAAGAGGATATACCATTGAAAGGGACAACCAACTAATTAAAAATTTATGTATTGGGTGATACGATTGATTGATAGATAACCTATTATCTATTGGGTGATATTTCAAAGAATTTTGTTAAGTGTTTGGTTCTTATTAATGGACTGGTATTTCATTTCTGACTAGTATCATGTAAAGGCATCTCTCAAATTTTTATGCTGGTTTACCTAGATTAGCATAAAGATAGAGCAAACATTTCATTCTTTTAAGGAGATCAGGTTAGATCCATGGATATCTAAATGGCATTGATTTATAAACCAACATTATTACTTGTGTGTTAATAATGAAGTCTAAAATTTAGCATAAGTTCTTAAATGAAATTCATTTGACTTTCTGATATGAGTGACTCTTAAGGTTAAGAACTAATATAAATTTAGAAAAACGAAACCAAATGTCTTCAACAAAGTAATTTATTTTTTTTCCTGAGAGACTAAATTCAGTACAGTATTTTTTTCATAACATCCAACATATCTTATGTTAAACTTAACCACTTTCTATGCAGTGACTGTGGTGAGGTGATCTATTTTATTTGACTACCCTCAAAGTAATTCATCTGGGTAGTTCTAAGGCTTATCAGTGATCAAAATGTTTCTCCCTACAGTTACTCCTGCATTCTCAATCAGTTTCTTCTGCACATCATCTAAAGAAAATTTATGTGGTATGATTACACTCTTTTTTTTTTTAATACCAGGATTTCTAAAACTAAGAAAAACACTAACATTTAAAACATCAGTGTTTCTAGTCAAGGATATTTCAATTAAATTTCATCAGTACATTATAGTTTAACTCATGCGAGAAATGTTAAAACCCAAGATCTTCTGAGTCACATAATACCAACATTTCATATCAATGAATAAATTACTCGAGTTCCATACAAAGATACTAAGTGATGAGAAACAGAAAAAGCTAAGCTTTCAATAATGTTTTTTAAAAAATACAGAAGCAAACTAATGAACACAACTACACAAAATATACACTAACCAACTGCAAACTAAACTAAAGATTAACCTTTAAAAAAAATACATCTTAGAACTTCGTGATACCCTCAAAAGGCAGCAAACTAAGGGTATTAAAACAGTAGTCATTATTTTAGTTACTGCATCAAGTCTAAAATATCCAGATAAAGGAAATGTTTTATGATTCAATTTAAATAACTTTAAAATGGGAAACATTTAATAATTGATAATATAATTAAATTTTAAAGAATATACACAAATGATCTGAACAGGTTTTATATTCAGTAACTTGCATGGTTTTTACACAGGCACTTTTATCATTAATTTAGGAGAATCAGATGCATCTCCCTCCATATACTTAGGCGTTAATATTTCAAATTTATAAATATGGTAGTATTTTAAATATTAAATTTTTACATGAATATTGGGTTTATCCATATTTTCCTTTGTTCCCTAGGTATTATCCAGTTTTGTAAGGAAAAAATTTTATATCACAATCAAAACTTGTCTTGGTTACTAGGCTGTAGCCATAATTGGGTTACAGTTACTTAGGTTCATTATTTGGAATTATACTTACTAAGACAGACCTAAATGAAACTTATCTCCTATAAGAATTTCACATTTGCATTTACCTGCACTACAGAATGGGTTTAAGCATATTTTAGTTGTTAGGAAATATTTAATTTACTTAAACTTGTTACCTGACTACTCAGAATTCTGAGTAGTCAACTGTACCTTTGAGTTCACTTAAAACTATATCTGATTCATATAAAAGATTTTTAAATAGAAGTTAGACTTCATTAAGGTATTGGTATTAACTTTAAATCTGAAAGAAAACATACCTAAAGTTTGACAAGTTCATTAAAAAATTTTTAGCATGTCTTGATATATTTATCAGCTTTTTATTCTTTCTGCTGGCATTTCCTTAATGTTTGTTTGTTTCACCTCTCTGGTTCATTGGATTGCTACTATTTATGCCTTCAGGAACTTTATCTTCACAGTTTACTGTATTTTGTAAAGCCTTTACCACATCAGCTGTACTGGCTGTTTTTGGCAAGGTCATCTGCAGTGCACACCACAGGGTAGTGCGTGTTTTCCGAGTAGCCACACACATCTCTTTAATTGCTGAAGCAAGGGCAAAAACATCTGTAAAAGAAACATTCAGGGTCATTTCATATTAAATACCATTTAAATGCCTGTTAAATCTTACAAAATCCAGTGCTCTTGCTACTAAATGACCAACTACTATTTTTGTTAAAAAAAAAAAAAAGTTATTGATTGACTCAAAGTCCTGTCCTTTATCATTAAAATATTTAAAGGTATTGATACTTTATTTCTGACTTGTATGATAGTGACTATACTTTGAGTAGAACACAGACTATCTTGAAACAGTTATAATAGACAAAATAAAATGGAAATACTTTTGGAGTAAATAACGTGGAGATTATTTACCAATTTATTCTATAGGTAAGTGTTAATTTTAGAAATCTAACCATTCAACCTCAGAATCTCATTTCATCAATACCTAAATTATCATACTGACTTATCAAAAGAATATGCATTAATATTTGTACCTCTGTCATCTTGACGTCTAGGAACTCCTTGCCTTTGCCGATTGGAAGCATTAACAATTTCATCCTTTCTACGTGACTGTACAATGTGAATAGACTCCAAGTGTCTATCAAGAGCAGTAGAGATATTGGCATGAAGAAGAGAGCTCCGAAGACGTTCCATTTTGCCTAGTAAAGTCACAACCTGAGGGAAGCATTTTAATTTTTGATAAGACATGGAGCCACATTGTTCTGCCATTAAGTAAAAACAAATCTTCAATGAAGCAGAATAGAGATGAGAGCAATAATATTCATTCACTAAATAAATGAATGCTTACTGTGTCCTAACACCATGCTAAGGGAAACAAAGGAAGGTGTTTTCTATCTACTTGTCTATGTTAATTCTAAAAATATTTGGTAGTTGATTACTGAGAATAAGCTCAATGAAAATGTTAAATATTCAAACATTACTATGTCATTAACAGTGCTAATACAAGAGTTGATACTGTTTTTGACAAATTAGAGACCAGCCTGCAAACAGCATTGTTAGGAAGTACTGTAATCTAATGGAAAAGGTTTTTCAGCTAAAAAGGGAAGTACTTGGTTGATTAATCCTGATCTCAACAAGTCCTTAATTTTTCTGGGCCTCAATGTTCCCTTTTTGGAAATCAGAAATATTCAGATAATAATACTGACTAGTGACAGCTTTAAGGAATCCATAATATAGAAAATATTGATTTATGAAATCCGGTGGGTTTAAAAAAAAAAGAAAATATTGATTTAAATTTACATTAAAATAATACAAAATGACTCCTGTAACTGTTAAAACTGCTAAAGAAAATTAGGATGCTTCTCAATCCTCTGCTTAATGAAACTTTAAAAAAGGCACTGAATATATTAGATCAGTAGGGGGAGTATGTTTCATATGCCTAATTTGTTTAAAATTCAAAACTTGGAAAGTCTATGGAAAGTTAACTTTTTGAATAATTGCAATTTGAAGATCAAGTAAGTACAATAATTGTCTTTGGGAGTTAAATGATTTAACAATTGACATTAGAACTGGTGTTCACTGACTGGAGAATATAGGGGAAAAAAGCTTCTCAAGAAACTAATGGCACTGGAATTAATGTTTTTCTAACCTCACACTCATATAAAGTTTCTTTGGAATAAGTCTATTCCAGATGTTAAATATTTTCCTCTCAACTGTATATCAGCCAGATCCTTCAAGGGAAAACAAAACACTCAAAGAAACCTCCAGGGAACTACTAATTATTTTTAAATAAGACAATCATTTTGAGCAAATGATAAGAGTAAAGAAATGTGTACAGATTGGGGTTGGGCGCGGTGGTGGATCACACCTGTAATCCCAGCACTTTGGGAGGCCGAGGGAGGCGGATCATTTGAGATCAGAAGTTTGAGACCAGCCTTACCAACATAGTGAAACCCTGTCTATACTAAAAATACAAAAAATTAGTCGGGTGTGGTGGTGTATGCCTGTAATCTCAGCTATTCAGAAGGCCTAGGCAGGAGAATTGCTTGAATCTGGGAAGCAGAGGTTGCAGTGAGCCAAGATCTCATCAGAGTGAGACTCCATCTCAAAAAAAAAAAAAAATTTGCACAGCTCATTTTTAATAAAAATATTTTTTTCAAAATTCTACAAAGCTAGCAAACTAGAAAATAGTAATTGTTTTTTTCTTACCCTCTGTTATTGAAATAATGTGGCTAAGTATACATAAAATAAATTTTTTTTTGAGACAGGGTCCCACTCTGTCCCAGGCTGGCATGCAGTGGCATCATCTCAGCTCACTGGAACCTCTGCCTCCCAGGCTCAAGTGATCCTTCCACCTAAGCCTCCTGAGTAGCTGGCACTATAGGCACATGCCACCATGCCCAGCTATTTTTTTTTTTTTTTTAAGACAGAAAAAAAAATTTTTTTTGAGCCTGTCCCAGGCTAGAGTGCAGTGGTGCAATCTTGGCTCACTGCAGCCTCTGCCTCCTGGGTTCAAGTGATTCTCCTGCCTCAGCCTCCTGAGTAGCTGGGACTACAGGCACACACCACCATGCTCAGCTAATTTTTGGTAGAGATGGGGTTTCACCATGTTGGCCAGGATGGTCTCAATCTCCTGATCTTGTGATCCACCTGCCTCGGCTTCCCAAAGTG